CAGGCCTATAGAGGCTGACTCGATCAAAATAGGTTAACAAGAAGGTCTCTGCATGCAAACCATAAATCGGAGTTTGTAATGATGCTTCGTGCAGTTACCAATTTCATGAATACATAAAACAGCCGTCTGGCTACTTCAAAGTTAAAAAGCCCATAATTAATCCTTTAATCCGGATTCAAAAGCGTGAGCCGTCATCATTGCAATCATTAGTTGAATGTGACGGGCGAATCAATGGCCGCAACCTTCCATCAGAAAAGATTTTACGCTCTATTTATTCCTGTCCAAATTTTCTTTTCTACTAATCCCAAGTGAGTCTAAATGGATTATCATGTAAAAAAAAACGAAAACAAGAAAAGGAAAGAAAAACAGTGAAGTCAGAAGAGGTGAACTGTATTACAGGTTTCTGACTTTATGTCAGCCTGTTTTCGCTGTTTGTTGTTGCAAGGAGTTGCTGCATGGTCGTTGTTGTTGCTATTGTTATTTGTTGCTGTGTAGTTATTGTTGTTGTTTGCCATTATCAGACACTTGGGGGCGCTGTCCCGTCACCCTATCCAAGGCGCTGGTGATCTCTAATTTCTTGAGCTCTCATTGGACAGATTTAAAAAACAAAACAAAAAAACCCCAGTTGACCCGACTTGACACTTTGCATAAAAGTGCGCACGGAAATACACTGCGTTGATCATATAGCAGAGATCATAAAGCAGACCAGTAAATTGGCCCAAAATTGCCTACTTCGGTCAAATCACGATTTGTATATACTGTCATATTGGTTTTTTTCTCTTAATAGAAACGGTCCTTGCAAAAGGTTTTGTAGAAAAAAAAGGTGCCAGATGTAAAGTGGTCTTTAAACTTGTATTTCTGAGAAATGTGGGCTGAAAATGGACCTAATCGCTCTATTTATGGAGCGGAGGGATAATTTTTCAAAATGGCGACGGGCTTCGGGACTGCATTTAGGGATGCAACCCTGCAAATAAATTCCCATAGACACTAGTGCTAAATGCCCATACTTCAAAATTCTTTTAAAAATACTCAGAACTCTCACAGGTATTTAGGCTGCACAGAAAAATGATGATTGACATGTCGTCTTTCAATTTCGTTTCATTTTTTGGTGGGTTGACCATTGACTTTTCGAGAAATTCTCGCCCAAAGAAGACGACCCCTATTTTCCCCAAAGTGGAACGGCAGCCATCTTGAAAAACGATCCCTCCAACAACATGGCAAAATAGCGCCACTTTCAAGCCCAATTGTATCCAAAATGCTAAGAATTGGAAGCCCCGAGTCCGGGCCAGAGGTTCATTGCCATATCTCTTCAATTCCCCAATGTTATGGCTCCCAGAACTCTCTAATATAGAATATTTTGAGGGGTATAACTTTTATTCATGAGCTCGGCGGACGGATTTAGGCCTATTTACCGGTGTGCACCCTTAGGGGTGATAACTCTTTTCATGAAAAAATCACCCAAACATCATTGGTTAACCCCGCAAAAATTGAATAAAAAGTTAAAAAGAGGAAGTCAAGCTTTAATTTGATGCATGAGTCGATCAACTGTAAGAGTTCTGAGTATTCCCCCTCCCCCGATTTGGGGAGTATTTATCATCGGAGCCAGTGAGAATTATTTACTTGTATGCATGAGATTTGTTTGCATGAGATAGACATGGAGGAAGTCTGTGCGATGAACGGGTTACTCTCGCAAAGGTTGGCAATCTTATAAATGGACGGAAAGCTCTAATTCCCCCGAAACATCAATCTGTATTTTAGGTAGGTCATGCGTCTCATTGCATTTTAAAGAACGATCTAATAATATATTAAAGCCTAAAACAGTTGCCGAACTGACGTTTCCTTGTAGTATACGCACTAGTAGTTAACGCCCTAGCACCGCCATCAATGTCAGACTTTCTATTTTCACTTTTCCATCCGTTGCGTTTTCTGAGCTGAGGAACGACTTAAATTATAAGGCTTTTCGCACAGGACCTCTTGCAAGGGTTAGATTGTGCAGCCATTCTCCGAGAGCGAGCGCCCTTTACACACGCGTGCGCGCCACAGAGCTGTACTATTTTGTAGTCAACAAGAGGCGTGGTGTTGGGATTAGAATACGGAGGAGAGGGAGTCACTGCGTTCTTAGCACCAGACTTGGCTAGTGAATTACTTGAACACCACAATTTTGGAAAGACTCACCACAGGCTTAAGAAATCGCCCGAAACCAATGATGAAACCAAGAATTGGGAAATGTGTTTTAAATTAAAGTCTGGTTCTGGGATAGCAGACTGGTTCCCAAGACCTGACAATTTTTTTCCGACGCTCACGTCTAAATTGTAGGTCAGGCAGCCTCCGTGGCTGAAAATAAACATGACGACATTGTTGGCGCTGGCCCTTTTTCAAAGCTTGGCTTCGTTTCCGATTTCGCTTTATCACTGTTAGCTTTTAATGTTCTGATCAAATTTTCAAATAAATCACTTGCTTCGTAATATTATACAGTTATGATAATACAGTTTGATGTTTCTGTAATATAAAATTGACTAATGTTGATCTGGAATCTTCAAAATTAAGCACCCAAATAGCACTGTTAGCAGGAGGAGCTGAATGAAGACGAAGTTTTGAAAAATCTCGGTAACGGTGGTCAAATTCAAAATTGTACATGACGCAGCAAAAAGTTCGCCCGTACGATCCGAGTATATTTGATGCACAAAATCGTCGAACATAAATAACATTCTACCGTACGTCACAGTAAATATATAGTTTTGGGTCTCCAAGGTTATTACTAGCCTTCGACTCGAGTTGAGTCGATGAGGGACTCATTTAAGTGATTTGCTCGCAGTAACTGGAGTCGAGTCGAGTCAGTTATGTATACCCATTGGGGCTCGAGTCGAGTCGAGTCGCAACAACTGAAATTGTGAGTCGAGTCGGACTCGAGTCTAGTCATTTACCTAAGTCACTGCAACTTTATTATCCGATAGTACAGTGTCAACTATCGTCCGCTTCGAACAGCGACCCTTGGTCAAGCTCCTCCTCTCCCCCGCCAAAAAATGCATAAAACGGCGTTATACAGCGCTCCACTCGCTCGAAAATATATCCTACCTTTCCGGCATTGCTCTGTAAATTATCTTTAGTTGCTATCGGTGTAGTGCATGCATGTACCATAAGCTCGGTCAAATTGTACACCCAAGAAAAGAGCCGCGTACGGTATTTCCAACGTTAAATGAGGCTGCGTGTACTGTTTTTGTTGTTGAAGAAATGACAAAATATCAAACCCAAGACAAAAATCCAAACCTTAAAAACTGTTTACTGTGTGTGGACGTCTTCATTCATTTAATTCAGAACTTAATGTCAGCAAACCCAACAAGATGCATGCGTACGTGACTCTGACAGTGTAACATAAATAGCAGTTTATTAATTTCATTTGCATATTATTCGTTTACTCACATAATTGTAAAAATGAATACAGCGAACGAGAGAGAATTTTATTTGAAAGTCACAGCACACATCCAACGGTGTTATTTCACTTTCCCCGTTAACAACTTTGTTTTTACTGTCCAAAAGAATGTAGTGTAATCGCTGGGAATTTGTGTATAAATTTGAAACTGAATATAATCTAGAGTTTCCATTTAGTATTCGACTTTGAAATAACATATATCAGTTTGAGTTTTCCCTTCAATATGTGACTTTGGAATTTGACCGGAAGGATTTTATCCATGAATTATTTTGTTGGACTTTGCACTTCATAAGTATGAGTTTAGAATGTGCCGTTGTTTACATATGGCTTTGCCGTTCAATATAATTGTGTTGGCTTCAATCAGTTAGTTTGGTATTAGATATTCAAAGGCATAATTTATTGCTTCATAATCGGTACTTAAGACCTCTAAGAAAACTTCATTATAATTTTGTTTTTAAATTTTTATAATACGTGTGAAATATCCAATTTGTTGCTGGTCATTTTTAGCTACTTACAATGATTTGCTGTTTCTTTGCGATTCTTACCACAGTCGCCTGTGTAACTGAACAGGTCACAAAATAGTTAAAGGTACAGTCCATCATTTGTAATTTGTACATTTTGTTCGTTTGAAGCAACAAACGTGCTCAAAATTTAAAGGAGGGTGCCGGTGCTGAACAACTAACCTGATGAACTTTCAGCTCAGTGAATGCTGTATATTCTGAGAAAACAACATTCTGGGATCTCGATTTCCAATCAAAAGTTGCTGAATCGTGTTTTGAATTGGGCCTGAATTCAGTGTCCGAGACACGTTCTCACTGAGCCGATTGCAGCTACGCGATGTCGCGCACTGATCCAACGAATTATAGCAACCGCGCGCCCGTGCGCGTCGAGTCAACGCTTGAATTAAAAAACGTACTACTATACTAACAGAAATTTCCAACCATGCGTCTTTAGACGCATCGTTGGAAAGGCCTTCTTTCGTTGATGTCTGCAAAATGACAGCAAGTCAGAAAGAATAATTTCACGGGGAGTTTAGTCCCCTTACTATCTTTACACCAAGTATATGTTGTTCAGCAATAATTACGTCAGTTACTTTTTGGATAGCTTCAAATGATGGACTATAGCTTTAATTATGCAACAATATCGCTAACATGCGACCTTGGCGTCATAGTTTACGACTGCTATTAAAATGCAGTGATACGGAACGCACTCCCAGATTAATTTTTGTCCGGCAGGTTTGCACTGATAATTCATGCACATCATCGGTCGAGGGTCATTTGTCGAAAACACGGCTTCGTCGCGGTATCGACTTCAACCAAGCGGCTACAGAAGCCAAAATAATACACAAACCAAACACCTAATCCAACACAAAAAGACCACAACGCAGACACTTCACACAATACTATTATTGTTTCTGTATCAAAATACACCAAGAACCTAAAACAAACAAAAAACCCGAAACTAAGGGCTTAGCCGTTCCTGAGATGAGACAGCGGATTGAAAAACGTCCACAGTCGCTCTGTTCATTCGCCGACTGTGCATGCCATCTGAAGGCCATCCCTCCCCGTGCGCGTGCATGACCATGGAGTAAGTGTGACCCCAGTCAAGCTGTCATAGGGAATGAGAGTGTCAGACCGTAGACCTTTTGCTGCTAGGGTCTTCATGCATAATGCGGGAACAGCACTACAGCAGTGAGTGAAAGCTCTTAGCATCATAGAGAAAGGACCACCGACATTGGACACGGTGTAGGGTGTATTTTTGATTGCCGGTGTAGCGTGAATTTACGTTTCTATGAAATTCGGACTCATTGGTAATACCGCGCATCGACTTGGACCGGGATTTGCAACGACATCATCATGACTACATGCAGGACAAGCAGCAATGGTGGTCGCGCGTATTTGGTTCTACTCGCCATGCATGTCGCCTACATCCTATTCGCGGGAACCAGCAAAGGTTTGGGTGTTCTCCTACCGACGCTCAAGGAATACTTCGACACTCACACATGGCTGGTTGGATCTATAATCTCCTTCATGATGACAATAATGGATTTATCATGTAAGATATACACCAAGTAATCCATCTTATCATTTTTGTCTCGCCGATGTCCGAAACGAAGTTCAGGAAAGAGACATGCAATCACTATGCATGTCTGTCCGTATGTCCGTGACATGAAGTACTGGAACCAAACTTGAGTCATAGATGCAACATGGGATCGGGAACCTTCATAATTATGCTGTCAAAGGTCACATACCAAGGTCAAAGGTCATCTGAGGTCAAGTTGATAAATAGACTGGACATTTAAAATTGGTCTCATTCGAAATATTGAAGTCCAATTTCAGTGCAACATGGCAACCTTCATACGATAATTGTCAAAGGTCACATACCAAGGGCAAAGGTCATCTGAGGTTCAGTTGTAAGATAGGCTGAAAATTGAAAAGTTGAAGATGTCAAAGGTCACATACCAAGTTTAGTTTTACTTTTACAGACCACGTCCTCTAAGCTTAAATGCGCAACTGTAGAGTCTTCACTTCATAATGCTGCAATTCAGTGTAATGTTTCTATCATTATAGGTTTTAGGTTATTTTAGCACTTGTATCACACTAATTCCCTACATCGATACTTTAATTTCGTCCCCGAACATCGCCAAGCTCAATTCTCAATCTGAATTTCAAAAAACCACTACTATATTTCATGTATACTTCAAATTTTTAGCATACCGATTCGTCCTAAATTTGTGAAATTCGTTTAGTTGCAATCGGCGTTGGAATTGAAAAAGCAAATTCGTTTTTTTTGTCATTCGAAATTTAAGTTTCGATATAGGGAATTCGTGTGATATAAGTGTTAAAATAACAGGGAAAACCTATATTAGCAGTTCATACAATTCCACCCTCATTACTATACCCACAATTATTTCGACACTGATCAGGGCCTTCTCATCCTCATTTATTACACTACCCATTGCCATTGCCACACACCAAGCAGTCTGACCCTGAATATTACAAGTCACTCTTTAAACGGGTGGTTCGAGGACCACCTTGTTTACGACATGCTGGTGGCGGCGAAATGGCAAATAGCTCAGCAATGATATTCAGATTACCAGTCACAAGCAGGATGCATTGCATTAACGGCTATATGATGCAATGAAGCCCATGTGTAAATATCAAGCTTAGTAGGCTAAGGAAATGTTTCATGAGCCTATATAGTGAGCTGGATATTTTAAGCTAGCCCCTGCGCTAAATTAACGGCTTTAAGATTACAAGTTCAAGATATCAGCCCGAGGCCAGCGCACGTACGCAACTGTTTGTTTTTACTTGACATCGACCCCTGGTGTTTCACAAAAACAACGAGCACAATGTACTGTAGGCCTATTGCTAATTCCATCACGGATCCTAGACACCAGGATAAACGACTGTTCTGAGCTCTAGTACAAAATGCACTGAGCGGACTTGTCTAGACGAATGATAACGGTCATTAATACCCGTTGGCTTGTAATCGCGAATTATCCAGATGTGCCATTGTGTTGGGTTTTCGCATGACATCTAAAACGGAAATATTCATAAAACTGTAAGCAAAACTACTCCTTGTTTAAGATATAATTGTTCCAAAAATATAAAGAAATAAATAGTTCAGGATATAACAGATGGTATTGTGCGGTTTTTGTCGTCATAGATGAAGTATTTACCCGGGAAATTCACGTCAAATTTTGAGAACACTGTTTACCCAAATCTCGTTTTTAAGTAGGCTTTTTTCAATTTTTTTTTAAGAGAGATGTGATGCCGAACCCATGAAACAAAAGTGACATTTCATTGTTCATCTTAAAGCTAAAGATATTGTGCTCGGCATTACCATGGTTATGTAGTTGTCACTTATCAGAATTCAATAATAAAGACCAAAAACGTTGACTCATGAATATTCAAAAATATAATTCGCTGGCTTGACAGACTTCGACGCCGGATCGGGCGCAGAACCATGCAAATCCGAAAGCGGCCGCGCGCAGTGTTCACGAGTTGGGCGAGTCGTCAATCCTTGTGTGTAGGATCCGTGATTCCATGCCCACAACTCATTTTTGGAAGGTGTATCTGCCAAGAAATATGTAATAAAGGCATTTAATTTCCAGGGGCGTCAATCGCTTCTCAAAAGTGTGTGTGTGTTTGTGTGTGTGTGTGTGGGGGGGGGGGGGGGGGGCATACCTTGATCAGAACTAATGCGAGCACGAAACGCGAAGCCCTTACGGCGTGGGGTTCGAGGCCGGCCCGCTTAACTTAAGGGCCCCGAAAAAAATGTGGATTCTAGATGCTCCGAGGTGCGATATGAGGCAATTTCTGACCATTTCACGAGATTGAAAAAAGACCCCACCTTTTTTTGTGACATGAAATTCACTACATGCATTGTTGTCGTGATTTTTTGGTCGTGAACATTTTCCCTCTACTTTTCTTCTGATGACCTTGAACACACTGAATACGTGTTTTCCAACATACCTTTCTCTGACGGATCTTGATATTTCACTTACAAAACGAATGGGTTTTGCTCCAGAAGTAAAATCGAACCGTCTGGCTTGCTGCATAGCGGTTGACGAATATTATATAGGCCTAGCTAAAGTTGCCAAACTAGGCACTTGCCGCGACGGTGTCCGCGTGCTTTGAATTACTTCCGAAGAAATTAAGATCAAGCGCACGCAAGACCAGTTCTGCGACAAATAAAGTAATTCACACATGAATGCATATCGTGTATTTTATGTCGCGAAAAAAATGTCTTGAAATGATTTTGCGATGTTGTAAAAAAAAAAATTGCGAAGCCGTGAAAAAAGTATGATGTTGTGAAAAAAATATTTCGATGTCGTGAAACAAATTTTCGTTGTCGTGAAAAAAAATTATGTGAAATAAATTATTTACGTCTTTGATGTCCCTTTAGGGCCAGTAAGATGTATAAATGCTTTCTAAGCCCCTTTTCGATGGTTTCTAGTTTTAAATCTGCATTCAGTTGACATTACTGACTTCGCCCTACTTGTCTTCTTTTTAACAATTTTCTTTCACTTCCTTTTCCCCCTTTGTTTTTTTTTCCGGGGGGGATCGAGTGCCCACCTTTTCCCCTTTCCACAGAACGTCTATGTAAATATACAGGACTGTCTTGTTTACTACCCTGCTGCCGCAGTGTGTTTCTGTGCGGCCCTTACGCAGGTTTAGCCACGCTTTGTTTATGTGCATGTTGACATTTCTTTTCCTGGCATGCTTTTTAAAATTACAAATTGTTGCATTATAATGTACATAGGGCCTACTCTTTTTATTTTTCAGTAGGTGAAAAACACTGCGATTTATGTCGAAATACTTGAAAATGGAATCACCCGTGCGATAACTGGGTCTGTCCCACGTATAGGCTAATGGTCTTCATTCCCAATCGTCACGTTTGTAGTTTCGGTATGGAGTGCTTGATCTCTTCACTCTTTGGAAATCAGCCTTGCGGCACATCCATACAACACGCAATACCCAGACACTAACTTGCACCAAAATCGTTACACATGTCTGGTATTTTGTTTATAGCGTTTGACCTTGCGATGACTTTGCAGGAATGCTGTCGGTTCAACTGTATAGTTGAACCATATTTTTTATTCCTCCATAGTTCCAATGTGATTTTAAAAGTATAGGGGAAATGAACAGAAAGTTTTTTTCGCTAGTGTGTACTAGGCATGATGGGCGTCAATCGGCGGGGCACGTACCGGGTCATACTTTTTAAAGTGGGGTTGTCATATCGTTTGGCCCCCCCCCCAAAAAAAAACTTTTATTTTTTCGTCCCCAAATAAAAAATGTAGCCTACATAATGATTTTATTCTTTAGAATAGCTGATTCAATGACTGCAAACTCGAAAATGATGTTTTAATGATGATCTTTTGTTAAAAAAAAAGAAGAGAAGGTTAATGTGGTCAGAAATTGCCTCAGATCGCACCACAGGGTGTCTAGAATCCATTTTTTGAGGCCCTAAAGTGGGCCCCGAACCCCGCAGGCGACAACAACGCCCAGTATCAGCGTCGTCCGCTAACGGCCTATGGATTGGCATATGGCACCATGTAAATACCAAAACGGTCGTAAAAAGATAAGGTCATTGAAAAGATCCCTCTGACCTCCAGACCAGAGTTGGGCCATGCCATGCTCGTATTGTCAACTTGATAACCCAAAGTACTAGTAGTAACAAGTCAAAAGCTGGACCAGTTTGCATGTAGGTTAGAGCCCACAAAGTTCTATCCAATGAAAGGAACTTTCTCCATGCATCAGCAGCTGGTCCACACAGTGGGCTTGATTCCTCCCTGGCCCTCCACGATTTAGCCATTATTCTATTATTATTTTTATTAATTATTGATTGGTTTATTATTATGTCTTTTTTCGCCGCCAGCAGCGGAATTGTAAAGAACATTTACAATGTTTAATCATTAAAAACAAAACTACTTTACAAGAGCAGCGAAAGACTAAAATATCATATATAAAAATAAAATTAAAAAAAACAACATCAAATGGAGAGGGTGGGAAGGGGGAGAGGATGAGAGGGGAGGGGTAAGACAAGGAATATGAACAGACATAGAATTACATCATTTCAAGACCAACGACTGGATAAACATGGAATTAAATATAATCATCAGAAGACTACACATAAAAAGATTTGCATTACATTCACTGGCGTTATGGGTACTAGGATGTAAGTTTGAGGTATAAAGGAAAGGTATACACATGTCTGGTGTCAATATGTCATTTACAAATTGAAAACAAACAAACATGAAATCAGGCAAACCTATACGATAATACTGCCCGGCTCTTTTCACCAGCCAAACAATATTATCTGGTCTAATCAGTCACAAGCAGTGTGGTCAGTCAGTGAGGTCAGTCAGTCAGTGAGTCCCGCTAGGAATAGCAACAGTAGCTGTGAAGCGATCATGGTATTGAAATAAAAAAAAATACAAGAACTGAATTAACTTTCAAATCAAAGTTTTGGTAACAACCCCTAGAATGGATACAAAGTGCATTATGATTTTTTGTTATCTATTTAAGTTTGCATCGTTAAAAACGCCACGTTGATCCTGTCCTTGACAGCGCCATGAAAAGCTCAAAGTCCGTAAATTTTCAGGATTTCGTTCATCATCCCGCAGTGAGCTGTGGACACAGTCACAACCTTGGCTGTAACAAACAGTTTGCGGCGTTTGTTTATGGTATAAATCGAGAACACACACGTGCAACATCACCGGTGAATTGAGGACAGGAACCAAATCAAGGACGACCTCGATTGGAAAACGTGTACAGAACTAATGAGAGCTGTTGCGAAAAAGTTTAAGCACAAACAAGGGAAAAGGGAAGAGGAACGAAAGAAAATCCTCGATTTACACCATAAACAAACGTGCTTGTACATGTACTCGCTTTCGCGAAACCGTCCAGCATTGCCTCGAAAACATGTTTTTGGTTATGATAATAGTAAAAAAACGTCCAAAGTAAGGAAATACCACGGACTTTTATGTTCATTCATTCATACATACATTTTGTATATCAATATTCGCTAGAGGGCTACACCGGTACCCTGATCATTTTGATCATTCCTCATTGCAGCTTTACCAGCAGGAGTGCTGAGTCGTCGATTCCCATCGCGATATATCGTCGTCATCAGCGGCACATCTGTCGCTGTTGGGCTTTGCCTGGCATCCTTCGCACAAACCGTCTTCCAGTTCGGAGCATGTCTTGGAGTGCTTTCAGGTATGGAGTATTCGCTGGTCCCCACCGCTCATTATCTGAGGACGCTGATAACTGCCAATTCTCCTTCAAAACATTCTGTGAAGAAAACGCAGGCTTCGCAAAGCATTGTGGGCAGGTGCAATGTACAGGTATTTCGTGCGCACGGGTCATGCGCACATTAATGTGCTAACCTTGGGTCAATAGATGTACAAACTGTAGCCAATGAGAGCGCTTAAACAAAATTAGAGGTTACCAGAGTCCTCCAGCGGTGGGGACGAGCAAAGTAGGGTAACGAACACATTTTCCAAATTAAATCCATATATTGATAGATTACCGATTTGACTGAAACAGATTCAAATACTCGATTTGTTTTTTTTCTAGGTGCCGGCTATGGTTTCACCATCATCACCATAGAAATTGAACTCGCGCGTCACTTCTCTCGGAAATACGCATGCGCAAACGGTATTGCGACCGCCGGGTCATCCGTCGGTCTGTTTGTCATGACGCCGCTGGTGCAGTATTTATTGGACGAATATTACTGGAGGGGGGCGCTTTTTATCGTAGGTGGATTGTCCTTGAATATGGTAGTGTGCGGCTGTCTGCTGCCTCTGCATCCCCCTTCGAGCGAGGACGAAGGTAAGGATGAATGCCAAACGGAGCCTTCTTCGAGTGAACCGCAGGATGACCTTGAATCCGTGGCCGATGAAGACCAGGAATCCCCAGGAAATCTGCGCCGCTCTGGCTACGGAAGGCTTGCCAAGGCCTCCGGCGTCACCGTCTTTAAGGAGTTCCCTTTCTTCGTGAGCGTCACCATCACCTCTTGTATCAGGTTCGTGTTCTCAGCTTGGACCATCTACTTCGTGCCTCACGCGGTGGATGTGGGATTCACAAAGATCCAAGCAGCTTTGTTTGTGACCATCACAGCAGTCGGGAACTTGGTTGGTAAGGCTTGCCACGGACCTATCGTGGACAGGAGACTGGTAACCAGACGGGTCATGATTGGTTTATCCACAGCCGTGACTGCAGTGATATTCCTACTGGATTCTTGGATGGCTACACCTGCTGTTATGATCACTGCGTGTCTGGTGAATGGTGTGGCATTGGGTGTGGCCGGTAGCATGATACAGGTGTTCTTGAGAAAGGTGGTGGGAGTGGAAAGGCTTGCCAAGAGCCTTGGTTGGACCAACGTCATCTCGGCGGTTGTCCGGATTGGTGCTGGCTTCTTTCCAGGTATGCTTAGCACGGGAAAATGAAAATGAACTTGGTGAAATGTTTAAGAAAATGGAATATATTAAGGGAGTGGGAAGAAAAGGTAACGACCCAATGTGGCGCACGGGTTTGAAAGGCACAGAAAAGATCACACATCTTAAATCGTTGCCCTCTCTGGCATTGAGCCACATCTGACCCGATCACCTCTGAGAATTACATATCCCTTCCATGAGGCATGTCTTACAATCACTGGATATCACCTTCCTTTTTGCCACACCGAAGGGCAAACAGTCACTGACTAACATGTAGTTTAAGCTTCTACCAACCTGAAAATTAGTAGGCAAGCTTTCATCCACTCCTGTGGACTTTCTCAAGCCAAGTGATTGTGTACTCAGTTTCTTGCTGTCTGTTGTCCCGAGATCACTGGAGCGTAGATAGGTGATAATGAGTAACCATAGTCCCTATTCAGTGAGGGATTAATCCTTTTGATCCAGATGGATTATTTCACCTTTCTTGGCCAGAAATATGTTTCAAAGTCGATAATGTGGGCATTGTCCCATCCAATGTTGTGTCCAGTATTAAGGGCGTGTTCTGCAACTGCTGAAAGAGATGGATTGTTCAGTCTAAGAGCTCCTTTGTGTTCTTTCTCCCTGTTTCTCCAACGTAGGAACTGTTACTGACTGAGTGACTCACTCCCCGACTGACTGAGTCAATGACTGACTGATTGACGGAGTGACTGACCGACTCCCCCACTGATTGATGGTCTTGGACTAACGGACTGAGTGAATGACTGACTGACCGACTGAGTCACAATAATGTCGGTTACGGTATTGAGATTTTCAGTTCAAGCCTGACTATATATGTAAACGTACCTTTTTGTATTTTCATCCACACTTTTTCCAGGTTGGATCTACGATCAGACAATGAGCTACTATTTGTCCTTCGTCATGATTGGTTGCGTGTCGGCCATGTGTCCGATCCTACTAATCGTGGAATTCTTCGCATATCAACGGTATCGTCAAGGCAAATACGATCTCAGCTTCAAGTAACCATCTGCCCCCCGTGTGAAAAACCATCTGCCCCCCGTGTGAAAATAAGGTTCTTAAACCACTCAAATAAAAGGATCTTGTTTTCCCCCTTTTATTTGATACCACATTTGAGGTCGTGGGGCTTGTAGTTCTTAAGGTTTCCTAAGTTTTCCACTTCACAGTCGTGTCCACTTCTCCGTGGAATTGCGCCGATGCAGTACAGCGAGTCGTGCGTTCTTCGTTTCAAATGTCTTTGTATTAACGGTGCTAACTGGCAACATTAAAATACAACGTCTAAGTACAGTTGATGTGAATAGGATAACAATATGATACTAAAGCTTTAACCTATGTATCTTTATCAAGAAAATATTTATGAATTGGTGTTTCCACATTAACAAAATGTAACTGCTGTTTTCGGTACAATTTTTAACTGTTCCGGTACTTATTTAAAATGTTATGTAATTTTAAATTTGTCCAGTATTTTTTAGTCTTTGGACTGTTATTTATGTCATCGCCTGCAAATTTCACGCTCTGTACTTAATTGTTTGTACAATGTACATAATAATTATATATTGTAAAAAAAAAACTGTCGAATTTATTTAGATATATGTTTGTATCATTTCATTTCCCCCGGTCTCGTGAGTATCGGGCTACACTAAAGGCGGTGCAGCCTGATAAAATAAATGTACTGAAGCTCCTGACGGAAACCCAAAGGAATAACACAGGTGTCATGATCATCTACACTTCTGATGTGACAAGCGAACAATTCCGGGGGCGATTATGTCCTGCGTGCAACACCTGTCCGATAACCTACTCTCGATATCAACTTCACCGGACGCTGATACTTACAACCGAGGACAAATCATAACTAACAACTAAACAACCGCATGTCCGTACTAATCAGACTCATTGGGTCATGATATGAACGAGAAATCCACCCATTTCCCATGAGTCAATGGATAGATTTCCCGAACTGTTTGCTTTTTGACTCAAAAAGTCGGTCAAAATATGACATCATTCGCTACGCCCTTTCCCAATGTGAAAAGTCACAATACCATCGATTTTTCATGATATATTTTACATGTCTTTGTAAACGATTTTCTTATTAATAGATATCAAATTATCAGTTGTATCATTATCATTAGTTGTAGTAAAAACACTATTTACAAATGGCTTGATTTAAAGCTGTATATTCTATAATGAGTTACTCATAAAGTCTGTCAGAATACAACGTAGCTCGCGTGATGTGAAAAGTTACTACGGGATCAATGTAACCTGGATGTGTAAACGATTTTTAAAAATTGATATATAAATGTATATTAAATTACCAAGTTCTTGTTCTTGCCATTAACACAAATACCAGTACTTAATCACAAATACCACAAATACTTAATATTTTACTACGCCTTCTTGTCAAATGAAATATTTGTGAAGTAGTTTTCATATTACACTGTATTAAATTTATATCAGTGACAAGTAACCTGTGGCTGTATTTCTTTTGTTGGACGTTCGTATTATTTGGTACTACAGATAATGAATGCCAGTCCAGTTAGTTGATAACGGTGCTGAGCAAGACAAGTCCTTGAGCAGGACACGTTACCTTAAGGGAGAAACCTCGACACTTGGTACCGGCACCGTCAGGTACATTTGTGTTTTGTACATGCTACAATCAATGTTCATGGCATACTCCCAGCTGGAACAAGCTGTTGTAGTGTTTAGCGCACTTGCAAGACATGTGGCAATATCTATTTTTCCCAATCTGTGTACGGTGGAAACACCCATACCATTCCAAGTGGATCACCTCGTTTTTCCAATCTGTGCATGTACAATGTCATGTACGTTGTTTTTCCTATCGATTCCCAGGATTTGTAACATTCCCAGACTATTCCTAGTGTTAACACCTAGTTTTTTCCATGTTCCCAGTGGATCACCTTGTTTTTAAATCTTTTCCAAGTGGGAATACATGTAACTACTTTTCCTAATCGGTTACCATTGGGAACACCTAGTTTTCTCACATTATTCCCACTGGGAACACCTAGTCACTCTAGGTTGTTCCCAGTGGGAATAGGGTGGGTTCCAAAATCCCAATATTCAACATGGGCCAGATCACTAGTGGAACATTCCAAGCAATGCAAGCTTTTTTTCCACACATATACTTGCTCCTCACCCAGTAATGTCCAACTTACACACCGGGCTGTGTGAGTTACTAGGGAGTTGAGGTCATGGGAATACATAAGCATGAGGAGCAGGGGTAATAATGCACACTCTGGAGATGTTTGAGTTTCATCATTACACTGTATTAACAATGCATATAACATTAAAATTCCAAACTTTCTAAAAATTTAAACATCAGATCCAACTCGAGCATTTGACCATTCCTTTCTAATTATTCACAGCAAAACTGTTCATTCCAAAATATCTGAAAACAAAAATGACTATAAATACATAAAACTCAATGTCTGATGCCCCAGTAAGCAATCCAACCAATGACCTCTCCCATCTACATCCAGTCTTAAAAACATGCCACAGCATTATTATGTAATTTATTTTCCCTTAATACTTTTTTTTCAAAACGCAAGAAAACGTAAATGAAAGAGGGATGAGCTGAGGAGGTAGAAATATGTTTGCGCTGCTTTACAACATATTTATATTTGTACGGTCTCCAAGAACACAACACTGACAATCTACCATTACTGTATCAATTGAACCGAGCTCACGGCCTATGGCGGCCACGCTCCCAATGTCAATGTCTACACTCTAGGAGGCAATGATTTCTGTCAAACGTTAAAACTTTCAAAACCTCTCAATTTATTTCATACAGTTGATGCTCGTTATTAAAATCTGAGCCAGACCCAGCCATAAATGGTTTATCCATTTTTTTTTTAGTAAGAGGAGTGCCAGTCCCATTCAAATGCACAGTCAGGACCGAGTATTTACATTCACTATAACCAGAATTGTAACTGAATTTGTATTAATGAGAGGCAACTGTATTTGATGCAATGGATCTCAAATGGCAAATCAGGAAAGGTGGAAGGTAGAGGGAGGTGGGGCCACTGGATTACAAAATGTACATCCCTTAATACCATCTAACTCGATCACAGCTTCCCTTACTTTCTTAGAGAAACCCATCATTAGCATCTGGTTAGCAAGTGTGTATTACCTAGATAACGTAGATGAGGTATTAGATGACATAGTGCTTCTTTGTTTCCGGGACATCTTCCGGCCTGTTTCCCTTCTCCTCCCAGAGATCATTGTAAGGAAACTGCTTCGGTCCCTGCAATAACGAGGAACCATAAGAACGGCAAAGTCAGGGAAAACAATTAAAGGGTTCATGAAGTTAATTTTTCTTAGGAACATATTTTGTGCAACTTTCTACTTCTCTTAAATGTATGGACAATATTTGACATCCCCTTTTTGGTTAATTGTATTGAAAATAGACTTCTTTAAACATTTCAAATTGTCCATTTTTTTGGACAACTGAGGGCGCTGTTGCTGTGGTGTCATTTCAGGAAGACACTGTTCAGTTTAGGAGTTTTCTGTTCAAACTGTGAACCCAAAATTTGCTTAGTGAAAATAGTTGCGAGAACAGTTGGTTCATCGGCTCAGCTGACACAACGAATCACTAAAGAAAAGAAAATTTAAGACAGCAAAATTTCCAAAACTCTGGCAACTTTCGTGCTGAAATAGCTGTAACATTGAGGTTTCTGCCTAAAATGACATCACACGATATCACACTTTTGCTCATTAATATGGAAATTTGCATTAGCATAAAAACCAAAAAGGCACCAAAATACCCTTGAAAAATGGCAAAACGAAAGATTGCATTAAAAAAATTACATTGCATGAGCCCTTTCATGACCAACTTCATGGGCTAGCGGTTTATGCGGCTTCTTTATGGCACACGTAATGTATACTTGTAATGATCGATGCCACCACCTTGGTAGGATAGTCCCCAATAGATGATTAGTCTAATACAACTATGGCCATCTAGCATGGGTTTGGGCAAAGTTAGTCCAACTACAGTTAACCAGTTTGCACTTGAACATCTTCAGTCATACACCATCTTTAAAACTGCTGCCTTGGAGAAATTCTCATTTTAACACGAGGGAAAAACATACTACACCTGTAGTTGGAATTATTTTATTTATAAACTTACCACAGGTTGGAAGTTCTTGAAGTGTCCACCAATCCAGAACAACCCAGCAAGGGTTGCTAGAACGGTTCCAAGCATCATCGCCTGCTTTTTACTGCCAAGATCCAAATCAAAATGTCCCACATCTTAGTTTATAAAGTTCCATTAGCGTATTGCACATTCAGGGGGATGGAATTTAAGAAGTCCTAGATTAAGGCCAAAAAAAAAAATAGTCGGTCTCTGGTCAGACCGAAGTTCAGGAATTGATGCGGCGACGCGTTGTTTTTGTTGGGTTTTTTTGGCTTTTTTTTTTTCAAGCTTGTATTGTACAGACAAGGTGGGTACTATTTTGCTTTTTTGTGTCCTCATTATACATTGGTGTCCTCCATAATTTGCCTTGGTGCCCTTTATTATTTGCCTTGGTGCAATTTCCCCATTCCTTGGTGCTCCTTGGTACAAAAAGTTGAGGAGGCGCGGCAATAGAGGGCGCTGTTGTAGCTTACGTGTTAATTTGGAAAAAAAAAAAAGGTTGACGCGCATGATTAAAATCAACGCACGCGCTGACCAGAGACCGAGTATTTTTTTTTTTTTTGGCCTAACCATAAAGATCCCCAACCAGCCAAACTCCAACACCAGGGTTTGTTGGAATCTGTTAGGATGAGTACTGCACTAATAAACTGACTGTGCTTTACGTGGGATTACGGATAACACAAATAAAAAGAGTCCATCTGTTTCTGTGCACAGTTTATCATACGGTATTGGGATTTGCAAGGATGAGGAAGGTTCCTAGTCAATCACCCTAGGGGGGTAGGGTTAAGGATTCCAAAACCAAACAGCCGGAAGAAAATTGTGTTTAGAGCTCAAGACACTGGGAATTTTGAAAAGTCAGAAAGAAACCACAGTTTCAGTGAATTATCAAATTATTCTAGCAGGAATGCTGCGTAAAAGACCTGTTAAAGTTTTGCTCACAACATACTTTTTAAATAAAGGTTTGGAAACTTTTGTTACATTTTAAGAATCATGAATTCAATTAGACACACACATTTCTGGTTTTGATAACGGTTCTGAACTAAAGAAGACCAATACTTACAGTGGTATGTTGCTTTTTGCATATATGTTGGGTCTTGCACGAGATAATAAATCTTGTTCTATATGTACCTGACGAAAAGAAAAGCAAACACATGCAATAGGTGAAAGTATGTTCCTTGTTTATATCATTAAATTCATGAAAATGGCAAATATGTATACCAAGGGCATTCAAACATGAATCTACAAAGGTATATGTCGGGTGCAACTCTACAGAAGGACTATTAAAAACAAAATTTGCAGTTACTGTTTATTTGTCAGATGTTGTAAAGTTCTGTCCATGAAGGTCATAGCGGCACAGAGGGTCATACACTGTGTGACCGTGTGTTCCTTCCTTCAAGTCCCAAACTAAAATTTTGGCAAACAAATATAAGCAGTATGATCAGTACAATAATACCTATTTCTTTTTCAGTTAAATTTATTCTGGTCATTCTATAAGCCTACAAAATGGTCAGTACAGTGAGGTCTACTTTTTATCCCACTTACAAGTTCTCCAAAGTTTCTCCTTTCTTCGGGGAAATCCCAGTCTGCATGTGGGTCTTTATCGTCATCATGCACGTCTTGACCCTTAGGGTAATCCCCCCAGCCCAGACCGTCATCAGGGTAGGGTTCATAGTCCTCCACCCTCATGCCATACTTCTTGGCAGCAGTCTTCCTCTCTTGAGGTGTTTTGGGATACAGGCCTGGCAGGTCATCTTCGGCTATAATTGTAAATGTCAAATAAATTATGATACAAAAAAAAAATAACGGGATATATAGAGCAAATGCTAGCTGATATGCGGAATATTGATTATTGATGTGACGTGATTGATGAGCCAATCACAAACTTTGGTCACTTTTCCTCCATTACAGGAACCAGTTTACAACTGTAACTCACCCAGACAGGGCTCTGGAGTGCTCTGAAACATGCAAAACTAAATCGGGCCCACTTTACTCACACTTTAGCCAGCAAATTTCTCCAAAAATTCCACTGGGGCAAAGAAAAGGTCCTCAGAATTTCACCAACTAAGTTTGCAGACTCAATTCAATTTTTAAAGGAGACTTTTCTTCAATATTTTGCACATGAGAGGGATGTCAAGTGATTTCAAAATGGGGCTAAATACTAGACTGGTACATGTCCAACCATGGTCCAACTATTTGAAAAGACTGACCTCTTCACTCAGTGTCAATAGTCTGGTAGCTTGACTATAGAGAAATGTGTAGTAAATTGAGACTTGTTCCCGCTTCATGCCACATGTTTCTTAAATTCTTTTGACATGGTTGATTGATGCAGTACTGAAGCTGTGTTGGACTTGTTGTTTTAGGTGCCAGTCTATTTTCTTGTTTTGCATGTTTTCAATACCTTAAGTTTTGGGACTCTCATACACAGTATTGAGAGTCCCAAATTTTCGGACTATAACTCACCCAGCTCAGATATGTCAACTAGACCCCAATGGTAAATGCTCACACTTCAGAGATTCGGGAAAAATACTCACAACTCTCCAAGGTGTTCGAGACACACATCAAATTAAAGCTTATTTCATCATCTTTCATTTTCTTTTCAATTTTCGGGGGGGGGGGGGGGGGGGTTAACTGATGACTTTAAGGAGAAATTTCCATCCGAAGATGATCACCCCTGAAAATATCCTGAAGACCATCACCATGTTGTAAAACGATGCCTACCCTCCACTGCAAAATAGAGCGCTTTAACTTTTAAGGGCCCCAATTTCATCCAAATTGAACATGTTGAACGGAACTAAGTACAATGTACAAGCTCACAGTCCTGTGCACGGCTTCCACCCATATTGTTTACAATCCCTCAAGTTCATGGCCCACAGCATGCTCAAATACTGAAGATTTTGAGGGCATGCAAATCGTGATTTGGCCGGCGCAGGCAATTTCGGACCGATTTACTGGTCTGCAACCCTATGCGAAAAGTGACAATTTAGAAATTTGGCCTAGCCTAAAAAAATACTCTTTTTTTGAGTAGAAAACATTTTACATCACGTTGCATCAGCTTAATTTACATTTAATAAATACTACAGTTCAGCCTTCAGGTTCCGAAAAAATATGATATACTCACAAAACGTTGCATATCGGGCTGAAATTATCCTGGCAACTGTCGAAACGTTTGCCGGTTTTCGACAGCAAAGCCTGCATAAACCCGCCATGTTGGTTTTCGAATGGTCAATACTTGACGATAGAGGGGGCTCTTAATCGGGCATGAAAGTCCAAGTTTAGTGACGCCAGTCACACGCCACGCTCAGCAAAAACTGTGATTTGTTTGGCAAGAAAGTTTCAATACAGGTACTAGGCCAATATTAAATAATGATGTATATTAGGCTGGAAAAAAAAGCAAAACAAATTAAATTTACATTTCAGGGTGTCCGAGTCACAAAATCTGGCGGATTCGGGGGCCCCACGGTGGCTACGCCCTCCTATTAGATATTAAGGCAACTAAAATTGAATGTTTTCTTCTCCCTTTTTGTTTTTAAATCCTTAGAAAAGACAACGAGTGTTGGTTTTAAATCGATGCTGTGGACCACTTACACTATTGCCATTTCCATCCAGGAATTCGTGGAAATTACACTGACAGAAAAAAGTAAAGAAAAAGGAAAGGGCGCCCCTTAGTGTCCAGTGCCAGCACCACCTTTCTAATCAGAGCCCGAAATACGCCATTTTGTCTTTGAGCTTCCGGACCCCTCCTCCCGACCCTTCTATTGGCATTTACCCTTATAATGTTGGACAGAATGATTTCTAACCGTAATCACCCCAAGAAACAATAATATTGGAATTCCACAAGAAATGATGAGATATCAGTTGGAGATGGGTAAAAACAAATTGTACTTGTACTTACTACGAGCTTTCACATTCCGGATTTTCGTACCTAGGTCTCCTTGTTCGATCACGTTTGTTTTCACATCGCGTACTTGCAATGGGGCATGAGAACGAAAACGATAACGGTGGGAACATTTACCTACCTACATCGGATGAATTCTAGATCAGGCTTGCTTGAATACAGTTCTTATTAACGGTCATTTTAGATTTGTTTGTAAATGAGAATTATAGTCCTTGAAGTTTTTTCAAAAAAATTGCGTGCCCGAAAGACATTTTTAGTCTCCTATTTAAGTTTCAGTTTTTACCCAATGACCGCCACAAAATTATTTCATAAATTTTCATCTTTGTACGGTCGAGTGATCCGAGTTCCACTAGTCCACTTGTTTTTCTTCTTCAGATTTTCGGAAGTGAGAGGTCAATTTTCGGCACGATATTTCACCCAAATTCACGTCATGCGATTTTTCAGTTTCCATAAATTGAGATGCCAGTAACAATTTACCAAAGATAATTTTTTAAATCCGACCGTTAATTTTCATATTTGGGGGGTTCGGAAGTACGCCACCCAGGGGTCAACATTCAGGCTCTATTTGCAATTAACGCCGGGCTGGCGCGGCGGGTCGGTCAGTCAGACATTCCTAACTTTTGCCCCCAGCAGTTTGGTTTTTGATCTCAAAGTTTGTCGCTTACTCGCTTGTAACGAACCATAATACCAAAGCGTTTTACTGACTTATAGCCTACCCGCTTTCAAGTTACGCTCATACTACCAGTTCATTGGCACTCGCGGTGCTAGTACTCAGTGATTAAAGTGCATTTGGACACATCGCCACCAACACCTACGAAACTCCAATTTAAACTTTTCCATGAAAACCTGACTTCGAAGTCAATGTCTCTCCTGAAAAGAAGAGAATACAATTCAGGAAACCACTGTCCCAGGCCGAGGCACAAGTGTCCGGCGATCCGCAATGGTGTCTATACCACCTGCTGGCACGGAAACACACTGAATCCATCTTCAGTCGTCTTCCCTCGTTGACTGTGAACAACCCTCTTCTAAGACAGAGGAAACCGTGTTTGCTGTGACAACGGCTCCTGCATTGCTACCCAGCTCACCTGGTACGGATGTGCGCCTCAATCGCTAATAATTTGCTTTGATGTATATCCGGAAAGGTATTTTATTTTGCATCTTTGGTCGACCACGCTAAAAGCACCTGCACACGGTGTCCGAACAATGATGAACGAACCACGTGGGGTGTGGCCGGAGAACTACGGAGGCCGTACGCGTAATTGATGTGTATATATCCTTGCAATATTCCAAGTGCTTTCATTTGGCACTTTATTCAAGAATCTTGTCTTTGATTGTCGGAAAGTTTGTAAAAAATGGATCAAGTTTACAAATACGTCACGTTACTTTAGCCCAATCAACGCTGGTATATGACCAGTACACACAACAAATAAGGCGGAAGACAAAACTATTCACCGTCGGGTGAGTTTTCTACATGTATTTGTGAAAGGCGCCCTCCTGCGTTTGCTACCCTCCATTGAAAAAGGATGAATTTTCGCTCATAAAGTGCGCCGTTCAGTGTGCGGTATTAGTGCTTGGTCTTGTCACGATGAGACACTCACCCTTGGACAGATTTTCGCTCTGCTGTTATTTTTGAAGTCGATGATGTTCACCTCTTGATACTTCTTACGAGTGAATGAACGGACGGCGTGTTCCTTAGAAGATGCTCATATAGGCCTTAAAAGAGAATAGTTCAACTTCGCGACATAACATTGTATTTGCTGATATTGGAAGAAAACGACATCAGGCGTATTACTGAACTTCGAGTGCGCTTCTGGAACTAACTAGCATTTGTACACCACAAGCCCAAACCACATAAGTGTGAAGTGTCGTCTCTTCTATAGACCTACTGTGTCCATATGCAATGCCCATCTACACAGGGAATAGTTACAGACGATGAGCTCAAGTAAGGCACCCATCATGTAGGTGAGTTTTATACATTAGTCACATTGTAAGAATTTATATTTTCTGAAGTCGACCTGAACATATTGTATGAAAGTCAAATAAGGTATCCTTCTTACCACACTTTCGCTTCTCACAGAGATAGGCTAAGGAGGAAGTTTGCAGTGGCGTAGCATCCGGGGGTGGGTGAGGGGGGACCCGGGTACCCCTCAATATTTACTCGAGTGCTTGCTTTTTCTTTTTGACGTCACTCGAACTTCATCAGCGTCGGACGATCGTGATTCGTCATCGTGGGACTAAAACCGAATCGGAAGTATCCACTCCACGGGATATCATTGCTAAGTAAAGCTGCGTCCGTATGCGTCTCTTCTTTTTTGTTTTAACCAGTGTGTCTTTCTTACGTCTACCTCTTCCCCCTCCCCCATCAAAATGACCCTGTTATGCACATGGTTTGCTGAGTATTTCTACGCCTTAATCTAATGGCCCTCGTATTATCGGGAAAAAAAACCTTTTCTTTTTAATACATTTATCGAAACCAAGATTTTTGTAAGGACGTTCAGAAACTGTAATAACTGTGCATTATTATCGTCAACAAATGCGCCGAGCTTGCCTTTGAAACTAATACCCAAAATGTGTGGTTGTTAATTAAAACTTTGTCTTGTTTCTCAATTTCATAAAGAGAGTGATGGGAAGTTTGCTTTTTTGAAATCTAAGATCGCCGCTTTGGACAAAAGTGTGTAGAGGTTGAAGTTGTATTATCCGTACTATTTTCCAGTTTCATCCTGAAGATGGATTTTTGTAAAGTACTATTTTTTAGTAGTTATAAAAGTTGTTCACTTTTCAATGAGATCGGCTCATGTTAAATTAATATGGAATAGCTACATTGGAAAGTTCGAAAAATTGACAATAACTCAGTTCTCGTTGGGTACATTCCGCTATCTCTCTCAGGTTGATTGTAGGAAAACCTGTATAGGTCTTGTACAGTGAGGCCGGATCTCTTTATGCCTTTTTGACACGGTTGCAGAGGCCAAAACAGAGGGGGAAAATGCTTGTTTTTGGTTAAAATGAACCATACAAATCGAAAATCATTAGCAGAAGAGGTAGTCCGTGCAGACCACGGAGAGTATATCTTTAAAACTTAGCAAATAGCCTACGATACCATTTTTTTGAATTTGTGAAGAATAATTGGCTAAATTCACCACCACCATGCCAACAAAAAAAAACCCAAAGAATTCAGCCTTCCTTCTCGCTACGACTACTGACAATTCTACTGTGGATGACATTTATTGATTGTTAAAGGTAAACACAAGTTGCTGAGCTGCGATGGAAGGTGGCAGTATTATTATGACCATCAGCGGCGACTGTCGCCATCCATGTTTAATGTTACTATAACAACGTGTCATTAATCGTCTATGGGAACGTCTTTCAGTGAGCGACAATTCAAATTCCTCTAGACTCGTCCCCTGATGTCAAGAGAGACTCTGCAAACGATTCTGACGTTTGTTTTTGCTCCTTCATTTCGAAGGCGTCTTAAAATGTGACCGCATCATCAGTCAGTAATCATTTCCCATGTTTTAGCAATGTTCTTAGCTTGATTTGCCATTTCAAAACCCCGTCTTGGGAGCTAAATCCCCCTCTCTATCCAACCCTGGATCCGTCCCTGAACATTATCCAATCATTGCGGTGAATGCCATAAAGAGTTAATAAAAGTCTGATTAGGCTTTTTTAATAGAACTTCGTCTTTTTTCCCTTTTTTAAATTTAACTTGAGATGACAGAAAACACAAGGTTACCATAATTAGCTAAATAGCTTATACTAATTATAATTACAATCATACAGAGCTAATTGAGTAGTTTCCAATTATAGATGTCTGTCTCGTGTCTGGCCATGATCTATTGATCATTACAGTGGTCTTACGGGAATTATAGGATTACTCAATGCTCTGTATAATATCCCGGGGCATCGCATAATGAAACGGTCCAAGAGGGAAGTGAATTACCATAAAGAATTCATCTTCTGATTCAGAGAATCAGTTAACTATACGGAGGCTTTACGCTTGTAGGCAGTTCATATTTCACTAGCAAAGTGCACATCGCGGGAGCAACATTAATTTGCGTGATGGTTTCTGGGTCACAACTTGTGGAGAAAAAAAAGTGTCTGGCTGGTGCACTTGTGACTCACAAGTGCACAAGCCAGACAATTTATTTTTCCTGGGGGGCTCGGGAACTACTCCCTAGACCCATTGACTTGTAAATGCTCATAAACATTTTCCCAATATTTTCCCATTTTGGTATGAGGCAGACGACTGCGTTTGCAACGAGGGAGGGAAATGTTTCCCTCAAGCAACTATAATGAAACAAACAAAACACCGTCGGAACTCTTTCGCGCCAATTCCCTATACATGTATAACCAAAAGGGATGGATGAAAACCAATCAAGTTAAGACAATCTTCTAAACTATTTTGAGGAATGGGTGACAAGAATAAGTTTATTTTCCCCCTTCCCGGAAATAAAAGGCGACTCGAACTATGTGCAAGGGGTCGGCTTCTTCGAAAAATTAAAAATGTGTGTTACAACCGAACAGAAAAGTGATCTGAACAGCTTTTTGCTTCTCACGTCCAGAAAAAAAAAATCTTTAGCTTTTTTGTGTGTTGATTTGCAACACTAACGTAATTAATTTCAAGAAACCTTTATAATTCCCTCGGTATTGTATCTGATAATTAGGTCTTCTGACCGTGCGCTTAAGTCTCTAGCGACTACCTCGGAAATCTTTGTGCTCCGATGCATGTAATTCTATTATTCCACTTAGCGTCAACTCCAGAAACCTTATTCGATTATCCTGTAAATTTGCAGGTGAAGATGAAAAAAAAAAACAGGTCGAATTTTTATCCGAAAACATTAAGGGGAGTGGGCCGAATCAAGGTGCCTGTGTCGTGACCTTTACCGTTGGAGGGCGCTCTTGTCAGGTCACGCTCATACCCAGTCGTCTGAGGTCACCGTTAAAAAAAGGATTGATTTCGTGCATGAGGGTACGAGGCATACCCCAACCTCGTCCACAGTGCTTACTTTATTTCCAACCACGTCTCCAACAGTAAGCCCTGGATAGGAAACTTGCTTCCAGCATCCTGATTCGATACAATTGGCTAGAACTGGATTAATATCGTGTACTTGGTGTTGTTATTCACAACGTGCAGTACGTGTTTTCGAGATAATTCGTCGACGCCTTCTCGAAAATATTCATTTCCTTTCCAATTTGTTAATATTAATATGAAATGTGATACTGCATGTTGTTGTTGTTGTTTTTACCCCAGACACCGCATACAAAAACAAATGCAAGTGTAACGCACAGGCAGGCACCATTTGCATACGTGTTCAAAAATCTTTCACATGCAAAATCCAATACCAGGGTGAGAGAGCAGGTAGTGGTGGGCGCGTACTGCTCGACACCCTGGGGACGAGGTTGGGCATACCCTTAACGTGCTATCGCATTCTATATACTGGTCCGTGCGTACATGTAATAGGAACTGGATAATTGCACACGCACACTTTGAGAGTAGATGTCATAAAATAGACGTAGAGGGTTTATCTTGACGGGTTACATGATATTGAAGCATGTACTCGAGAGTAGATGTCTGGCCATGGATCATGCTGCTTCAAGTCCGACATCTCGAAGCCAAGGAAGAATGTGTTTGCTATCAATCAGTCAACCCCATTCAGTTTGTTGCTGAACATGTGACTTTTTTATCCGAAAGATATCCCTCAACCTAACAGTTATTTTACGGAATGCATTTTGACAAGAATGACAAACTGAAGTCCTCATTTGCATTCTTGATTATGAAATTTTGTCTGTTTAAAAATGTTATTAACTTGCGGCGGTCATATTTCATTTGTGAATGTATGGTAAGTGTTCGAGGGATATAAAAAAACAAAACTACATGATGTTACTAAAGTTATATCACAGATACGATATACGGAGAAAAGGTATTACATGAGGTGTCTATAGAGCTGTCTTAAGGGGAAGCAATAATCGATTTTATTTATGTGAATAACGCTCTTTAAACACTTCTTTCTTGTGATATCGTATCGCACCTTTTTTAGCCGTCCGACCATAACTTTCTTAAGTTAATTGCTGTAGCCTATTTTATGATTTAATGGAATATCAGTTTTGCCTGCACTGATATTGAGTCATTACTTTTATGCGTGCATTTCGATAAAAGCTTGATTTTATCAGAGCTAGCTGGCGTAAAAATGAAGTTGTTAACTGCTGCTCGGGTTGCCTATTGCAGTTCCCACATCGTTTTGGCAAATAACATTTCGCCTGAAAACTATTTATGTTGGTAAACATGGCTTCATTCCAAGTTCCCGTTCTTTGAAAACTGCACTTGACATGAGTCACTTTGTCTCTTATCGGACATTGATATACCCCCTTGCTCGCACATTCAACGCGCATTACCGACCTCTGCAGAGGTCAAGACGCAATCGTACGTGTAACGATGCTGTGTTTTCTGATAAAGCTACAACAATCTCTATTCACACGTCGTAAAGGAATTAATCATAGTCTATAGGGAGTGTGCTCAGCATGCAATAATTCGCTCTTAAACTGACAACCAAAATTTGATGTACGTGATTTCATTTGACAAAAGGTTCTCAGTGCCAAGAGAACACAAGACGTGTTGATGATTTGAATTTTACCATTTCAAAAAGAGACGTGTGCAGAAAAGCAACTAGAGATTCGTCGTTTATCACGTTTCCCTGATCATGGATCAACAACCCTTGCCGACACCAACCGATCCCCAAGGTAACATTCGTTTGGATCTCGCCAAAATGTCTGGGTCACAAGAAGTCAACAAAATGTCTCACACTAATACGAAGGAAAAAAAGTTTTTCTTTTAATTTGACGCGACAGGCGTGTAAAGTAATGGAATTATGAGTCAAAGATGTCTGTGTCAGACTAAAGCGCCGCATAAATGCATATCAAGCGGCAACGTACCGTGTGGAATCGGCAGTTCCTATAAAATTGAAAGCGCGTGTGTATGAAAACATGTGTGACTTGAATCAAAATAACCGACTCTAACGCTCGATTTCGTGGACAAAGATTTTGTATATTCAATTCAAGGAACAAAAGTTTATTAAAAAAACAACACCATTCTGGTGTCGAATTCGAATCGACATGTATACCTGGACAGGCAGGACTGGGTTTTCATTTTAGCTAAACGAAAATCGGAGATTACCTCACACCTTTAGAATGAAAATGACATTCCTCAATCCTTTCCAGACAAAAGTAGGCCCTGGGGCTGTGGCTATGAAATCACTGCAAGATGAACTTTTGGGATCGGAAATCAATATAAGTACATGTTTCAAAGCTCGGCCTCGTCATGGCTACGGCTTAATTTGTCTTTGCTGAAGCCGAACCGCAGACGAAGCCAAGATATGAAAAATGGCCGTTGTAACGTTGATTATTTTTTCTAGTTATACAGTCACGCCCTCGATGTAGAGTTCCCACATGACAAACCCCAATCAAGCATTTCAGTTTCAAAAGAAATTGCAGACATTTAGGACAAAAGGTGCCTTTTCCCGAGGAACCGAACAGTGAAAGGTAACTCTATCCTACTAGTGTAGCTTTAGTCCCCGAATTTCGCACGTGTCAAGCAACAAGATACCAGTATCAAATTCGGTTTGGGCCTTTGGAAAAAAATCTAGCCCGCTACCATCTTTTTTATGTATCAGAATTCTTCCCAAAGTGCAATGTTTCAGATTCACCTATCGAATGATACTCAAGGTAATAGTGATCTAGGCACATTCCAACGGCTCTCTGCATATCGATGCATGTTCAGCAGCCTGCCTTCAATGAAACGAAGTCCATATTTTTTTTAGCCACGGATGGCCCGACATACCGACGTGGTACCTGCCCGGTAGTGCCGTAACTCAAGAAACGAGATAATAAGGGCTGGGATATTTTCATCAAAACAAATTTCGTGTCGGGCAAATTTGCACGAGAGAGTTGGGGTTAAGTGTGATCATTTATCATCCTCTGTTTCAGCTTTTGTATGTGTTCCGGGAGCATCAAAATCTGGCGCGCGCGCGGGACAGAAATCATTTTGTCGCCGGATTTCAGACTTTTCCTAGCAACGTGGGCGCGTGTTGATGTCGTGCGTCAACGTGGCCGACAAAAATAAGACACTACAACACGTTCCCGGAAACATGCGTAGGGGACAGAACCATTACAACTGCACCACAAAGGCAGCGGCGGGTGCAAATTGGCTTTTCGGTAATTCGATAATTAAAACCCTCGATCTGTTTCCAACTCGCACAGGTCGTACTTGCTTGTCGCTGCTGGCGAGAGGGCTGGCTCTATAGGCAAACACATTCGCTGGCTGTAGGCCGAGGCCTGTTCAATCTATATTCAGCAGTGATAAAAATGCAAACCAATAAAACTGGCAGAACTCAACCCCGCTAAATTGCTCTTGTGTGTGATATGCCCGATTCAGAGTCCTCCCCATCGATGCGGACTGAGTATCTCATCGGACCAAATGACTCTAGAGTGATCTCGTCTGTGTTTACTGACTCGTCCTGCGTTCGATAGAACTGTCACTTAGGGTGCTATACGTAGTGACGTGCGCAAACGCTTTGGCGCACCATGTTATTTCAATCTCGACTGCCTAGTGAACGGCAGACCCAATTTTGGCAGCGACGTGGACTGTTCGGTTCGGTAAAACAGCGATGACGTTCATCGAGGGGCACAAATCTCAGAGGCATTGTTCTAACTGATTTAGCCGAGCTGATTGCTTCAAGGTAGATTGACAGATATTGAAGAAGAGTGTTTGTTTTCCACTTACGTTTTAAGAGCACGAATGCGGGAGGAAAATAAGAGAAGTGTCGCAAACACATATCTGTGTGGTATCGGTCGCTGCGGTCCGCCAAATTCTAAATTACATCGATGGATCTAAATGGGTTGCTGATTTGCACACGTAATTTAATTTGCGTCCGCCTAACGTATTGTTTTGTATTTTTCTTTCTGATAGGATGATTGTGGCACCGTTCATAGACGTTCACCTTCATGACAACATCTAGGTCTGTGAGCCAGGGAAACATGCGCTTTATATTCTGACGCTTTTCAACGATCGTGCCGAGATTCAACAGTGGTGCTTCCGACGACAGACATCCATGATAGCCGTACCAAACGCCGGCCGAGCAGACTGATTAATGCCTGATCAGATTTCACTTCTAAACGCCAGTGTCGCTCTTGTCTCACCGAAACTACGGAGTTAACACGTAAACATTTCGTTTGGCACCTTGTGAATGATGCGCCATCCCTAATGCAGCTCCAAACGGTCCCATGTGCCGTGTTGTATCATATTTTGACTAATTCGACACATCGTTGAGTAAAGGAGCTAATCGACGACGTAAATTTCGTAGCCGGAAGTGTACTTGTGGCTGAACAGCAGCAGTTAACACCAATCGATTGATGGCCTGTGCATCTGAAGTAAATAAAACCGGCAATTCGTTGGGAAAATTTCGCATATTTAACATTTTCGAAACTTAGTGCTTCCGTTGTTTTTTGAGCAGCAAGTGATTTACAATGGATGACGGCAACTCAACGGAGGCAACTGGCGTCGCGAGCACGATGGCGACGCAGCCCGCGGCATCCGGGAACGAATGGGTGTACGGGATCGAAGTTACGCTAGGCATTGTGGGTACCGTGGGCAACGTGTTCGTCTGCTTGATCATTCTTCGCGCCAAATTCTTGCACAACATGACCAATTACTTGATTTTGAACCTAGCCGTGGCGGACATGTCTGCCTCGGTGTCCTTGATCTTCAATGTGTTCTTGGTGGAGACTGCGATTGTCCAAGCGCCGTCTGGAGTGGCCGCAGGGGAGATCTACTGTCGTTTCTATGGTAACCTCTATTTTTTCTGGGTGTGCGTGACAGCTTCCGTCTTCAACCTCATCGTGGTCACGCTAGAACGGTTCTACGCCATTGTGTACCCGCTCCACTACCCCCGATACTTCACACCCAAGAGGGTTGCCCTACTGGTTGCCCTGACCTGGGTAGGTGCTTTCGCGCAGGAATTCTTCGCCCTATTAATCAACTCCTACAACTCTGTGACCAGGACGTGTGATTATGGTTTCCCAAATCTGGCCAGCCAGATCGCAGTCGGTCTCTTCGTGTTTCTCAGCTCCTACTTTTGCCCTCTCTGCGTGATGATTTGGGCGTATTACAAAATCATGAGAAATCTCAGTATGTCGGCGCGCAATCTAATGAACCAACAGACGGAGGACCCGGCATACGCACTCCTCCGCGCGCGCAAGAAAGTAGTCCATGTCCTTTTCACCGTCGTCATGGCATTCCTCGTGCTGTGGACGCCAAACCAAGTGGTGTATCTGTTTGAGAACTTCAAGGTCGAGTTGATTCCCGTCCATCACATCGTGTACTCCATCTTTCGCATGATGGCGTTTTCCAATTCTGTCATCAACCCGATTATATATGCGTTCAAGTACAAGCAATTCAGAAAGGGGTTTCGTGTATTGATGTGTGGTAGATGTATGACCAATAACGTCGGGGCTGGCCAAACCGAGCTATCAAACACTTAATTTGCTAAAAAGCATGCAGTAAGAAACAGCGCTCAATCTAGCCTCATGGGCCATGCCTTGTGCAGGTCCAGAAATTAGTTCGGCCGACTGGATGCGATATTGGTTCCAGTATGCATCCATTTGAATATGACATTAAATAATATAGCATTGTACATGATCACTGAGCTTGAAAGTTGGTAGGGGTGCCTGGCTTCCTGCAGCGGATGAAATCATAATAAAATCACTTCAAGTGAAGGCAATCTTCCATTAGGTTAAATTGGTGTAAGCCACGTTCCTCGACCGTAGGTATACAAGTTTCCCATAGACCTGCGTCAGGGAGACGACCATAGCCATAATTATCGAGGCCGACCAAGTGAAATAATTGTGGCCGCCATTTTTCCAGTAGAGAACATTTGAATTTTATTTCGTCCACTTTCGGTCCACAACCAGATTTCCATACACATAAATGAAATTTGTTTTTTGCAAAACGTTCAACCCGTACCAATTATGGGAAGTTAAAATGTTTAGTTGTCCATATATTTGGAGCACCGAGAAAGTCGTCAAAGTAAAATCCAGTTTTCTGCGGGCAGAAAATCGACATTTAAAAAAATTGGTTGCGTGATTTCAAAAAATCTGAAATTCTACTGGCAGGAAATAGGAAAAATAGGTCGTCTACTTTTGGTGCTTCGCAGACACGGCTGAATTGGCTTCCCATAGATTGTGTGTTATATTGCCGGCCGTAGTCTATATCTCAGCTGTCAACCTTGTTTGTTTTGTTTTAATTTCCATTCATATAAAATCAAGAAAAAATTAAACAAAATGACAAAATTAATTATAAAAATACTGTATCTGGAGCAAAACAATTATATAAATGGGGGTGACATCCGAGAGAAGGACAAAGCCTTCTGCAGAGGAGCACCCCAGACTGCTGTCAAATTACCAAAAAAATGTATTCGAGTTTCCCGTAAACAGGATGAGTCAAAAAGAAAGCGGCCTGAATTAATGATTTTTCCCCTTAAATGTTATTAAATTTGACACACCAACGGTGAATATAATATACAAGCATGTTCTTCCACTCATTTGAAAAAAAGGGTTTTTTTTCAGAGAAGTTATGCATGTTTTACTAAAAGAATCCATTTTTACAGCTGTCCATGGAATGCCATTTGAAGCTATTGAGCTGAGTGAGAACCAGAGATTATACACAGGCACTCGGATACAACTGATATTTTTTATAATTTTTATCAAGACTGAAACGTTATTTTTACTGTCAGATGTTTTATTTTGAATATGAGGAATCTTTTCTGAAATAATGAAGGTGAATTTTGTCTGTTTTCCTGTGCAAATGTTTGTTCATTCATGAAGGCAGGAAAACGCCTTTGTTTCATTGTATTTAACGGTATAAACGATCATTGGTGGAAAGCTGAATTTTGTGATGTCTGTATTAAAATAGACATAACTTGTGAACATAGTAAGCAAACCACGTGAAATTTTGACTGTTACTAGTCAATAATATGTACTTTATCCCAAGGGCGGATCCAGAACACAATTGGGGGGGGGGGGGGGTTCCTCAAAAGTGGGTCCAAAAAAATGACGGCGTGGGGTTCGGGGCTCCCTTAAGGGCCCCGAAAAAAATATTGGATTCTAGATGCTCTGTGGTGCGATTTGAGGCAATTTCTGACCACTTTAACCAATGTTTTTTTAGGAAAAGATGGAGCTGTACTCATTGCCTGCCTTTTATGCGACGTCACTAAAAAAAAAAAAAAAAAAAATTGGTTCTTTTTTTTTCTTGGGGGGGGGGGGCATGGCCCCCTTTGGCCCCTCCTGGATCCGCCTTTGCTTTATCCCTATGTTAAATGGGGCGAGCCACATAAGTTTTTTATTATTTTTATATTTTGTTCTCATCAGGTCACTTTCTTTTTGACTCACCCTGTATAGTACCCGTCTGATAACGTCTGTGCACGGACAAATTATCAATGCTATGCTTGGATTATTGCCATAGGGTCTTAAGATCAATTGAACGATACTGGCGAATGCTCCGGCAACAGATTGTGTGCTTTGATACAGATTACTTTTTAAGATAAAACTTCCAATCCATTTTATTTTATAACATTATATGTCTATGGCAGCAGTAAATTTTCATTATTATTTTCCCCATTTTTGTAAATCAGGCCATTCTGTACTCAGCAAAAACAGGAAAACATGTTTAAGGAAAAGTTTAAACTTTTAGCACAAAACAATAATTTATCCACATAAGGTGAAGACATTTGAACAACACAACATGTGCAACATTATTTTGATGAACTTTCATCGTATTCCTGAATTTGTCTTGAAGAAGCAATAATCTCAACTGAACCTTCTTATCGGTGTTATAAGAAGAATTTTAGTGATACTTTTGTTTCTTACTTATTGTCTAGTTTATGTTGTATTGCGATTGTAATAACCATGTGGTAACTTCCAAATTCGCTTGTACAAAGGATTACTGTTGGTATTAAGGCAAGAGTACAACAGTAGCTATTTTGAATAAGATACGTTTAAACAATACGACTCACTTGATCTGATGTCTTATATGCACACTATTGATTTAGATTAAAGGCATAGGATCATTTGCTTTTCATGCATTTATTCGATTCCAATAATAACATCACTCAAAATCCATAGAACGTTCAAAACCTAACCTAATGCAGTTTCACCTCAGTGACTACCAGACATTTCGAGAAAACAGAGAAAACCATACACAAGTTTTTGATCACGAAACACGATCTCGTCAATGCACTCTATATTTCCAAAGATGTGTCGATTGACAGACCGCTGGAAATCACCTTCTTCTAAATGACAGCAAGCCAGACGGAATAATGTCACGGGGTGTTTAGTACCAGTACAATGTTTTATCCAGGTAAGCTTTTTGGCAATAATTCGCTAGGTGACTTTGGGGATAAATGCAGATGATCCTACATGCCTTTAAATACCAGGTTTATCAAGTTGTGACTTGTTTTTTCTCAGTGATTTTCCCGTTGGGTATATTCTCACCTTAGTGTTTTAGTATAGGGCTTAATTTTGCGTTTTGTGACGTCACTCCGCGGCTCCCAATGGTTGCTTGTGTTCAGACAGTATTCAGAAACAGTATTCACATTCAATTTCCCGTTTCAGAAATCATTGTAATGGAAAGTATTGATTTGTTTATACATTTGCTGTTTGGGAACTGCGGGCGTATTTGAGGGCTACCAGAGGCTGAGTTTTATGTTAAAGAAATTAAAAAAAAAGTGGATATAAATATTTGTAAAAGATGTTTGTTGTTTTCGAATACCAATAAATGGTCCGTGTGCAATGTATTGAGACGTGTTATGATAATTACTTTCAGGTAATGTTTAAATTACATCTTTATGTTTTTAAAATCGTTGCCAATGCTGATGTTCAAGATGTTGATATAAACGTGGTTGTTCTTGTTTCTTCGCAAACAGTTTATGTCTTACTTTTTTTCCGTTTATTATTTTATACATGTACCTCCTGATGTATTCTATTGTTCTGATGGCGGTTGTTCGTTCCTTTTGTCGCGCCAGCCTTGTGTTTGTTTGTCTGTGGGTCGATTTGCATTTTCCCTATGGACCACTCTGAGCACGCTGTTAATTCCATCACGGAGCCCCCCTTCAATGGCGAACGATTGTGCTAGCTATTGTTCAGATAATTCGCAAGGGAAAGGCAGTTGTTATGTGGTTTCTCCATTGAAGGGGGCCTCACGTACATGTGATGACGTGACCGGATTCGACAATATGGAAACCGTAGTAGAAGATTGAAGCCGTTAAAGGGACATTACGTCCTGGAATGCGTCCAAGTGGGCTACAAAACGCGTTTTAAACAAAACGATGTTAATTGAAAAGAGCGTTAAAAAGTAGGATATAAAAGTCCACACAACCATCCTTTAAAAAAATCCTTTTTCGGGCGTTGTTGTGTTATTCTTGCAAGAACGCGCGAGAACGAATTTCGGGGGTCCAAATTTCGACTCTCAAAATCGAGCTGTTGAGTGCTATAGTTGTGAATCCTGCCGCATAGTGTTTCGCATTCTGCGGACGTGCGAGAAACAACATTTGTGTTTTGGTGATGTGTGAATTATGTGACAAACACAAAGCGTGTACTCACTGTACTGTGCATTGAATGGATACGGCTGGAAATAAGTGTGCGTATACCACAAAATGTCCGCCATGTCCAATGTAAACAACTCTTTTTCGTCGCTCGTCGGGAACAGTAAGACATTAGGTTAGTTTCCTTTCAACCAGACCTTTGGAATATGGTGAATAAACAACCAAAAACATACATTTTCGGAGATTTCAGGCCGTAATGCCCCTTTAAAAGCCATTCACTCCTCAAAGTGTTTCTGATGAATTAACAGTTAAGCATCGCGACAGGAGAGAAGACGGGACATTTACCCACCGTATTATGTTACGGAAGGAATAAACCTCGGCTGGAAGATGCGACTTGCACGAACAGCACGTACGCTAACAAACTCGATTCTCTAGTGACGACCCTGGGTGATCAAAAGTTCACTTAATCACAACAAAATGTATACATCGGGATCGTACGAATGACAATGTTTCCATATTCCATGATATTCATTACCAAGGAGCATGTTGTTATAAACCGCACCGATACCCGTGCACGTTAACTGGCCTTTTTGGCGTCACGTTTCGCATGTGCGCGTAACCGGTGCGAGCTTTTTTCACGATAAAGGGAGAGAAGCCAGTTTATGATCCAACGCCTAGTCAACATTCCATGTACCTGTACGCTGTGTATGAGAGAAGGGCATCAAATTGAAGAAGGGTAGTTGACTTTCCCTGATTTCAAATGGCAACGGTTTCAGCCTTACTTGACTTTTCTTTCCATTGCCTGTCTTGTGTCGTTCGGACTTTTTTGTTGTAAACTCACGATATACATCGTAAGAATTTTGTTGTTGAACAATTATTGTTATTTACATGTGTCAGCTATATTATGATACTAAAAGTACATACAACGGTTTCCGTTGGTTAAACAAATGCTGACATCATCATGTAGAAAGTCGTGTTGGAAAAATGACAGATAAACATGGAATGGGTTTGAAATATCTTGTCAGTCGGAGAGGCCCCATGCAAACACGCAACTACATGTACTCACATTAACACATTAATGTTGCTTGATCCTCATTTTTATCGTGAATTATCTTGCCAAATGCGAACTTAAATCCTTAAAGAAATCGGCATCAATATCGTTAGGTACCAAATAATTATCATTTGCCAACATATTCAAGAGCTAACTCTCCATTTCAACCCAGCGATGCTGTTTGCGTTCTGCCTGCCACTATCATATTAAGCTTTGATGGTGCAATAACAACTTTTAAACAGAATCCTGCAAGAAAATGAACGTGCGGTTAAGCTTTAATGTTTTTAAGTCTTCTTCTTTTACGTTTTTTGGGTCACCTTATGTCGTTTATTCGCCAATCACCTCTTCTTATTTAATGGATTTCCCGTCCGTTTGGATGAAATTAGCCATTCTGTTTGTTTTCAATTTCCTCGATTAGTTGACCGAGGTTTCAATTCCCGCGGATAAATTGGCCGAGCCCGACGGCTATTTCTTGTCAAACTGGTTCCTTGATAATTATTGTTTTACGGCTTTGCGCGCATGATTGTGTGTGTTTGTTTACTCCAATTAAACACTACAAACGGTTATTTACAATTACGTATTAAATATATCAGTCATGATCGTCTTCTAGCGAATTTTGTGTGTGTGAAATTACCAGATATGACAATTTTGTTATAAAACAAAATTCATTGGAATTTGCCACCCATCTGCATTTGAAAAAAGAAACTCTTACGGAAATGTCTCATTTTCCACTCTCATTTTTACTTTGAATAAGTTGTTATAATTCTCAACAAGACAAGGCAGGCCTAGTAAAGCTGGCCCAGAGTGCACACAATTCCGAAGAGTGGTCTTTTCACGCAACTGGTCTACCTAATATTGGGCCGGTGCCATATCATAGTGAAATTCGTACTCCTATGAAATCTAGTCTACTTTTCCCTATTATTGGTTGAACCCTCTCACGTGACCGGTCACTCTCCTAATTATCTTCACTTAGGCATGCGCAATACTGCCAATGAGTCCATATTTCATAGAAACCTAAATTCACGCTACACCAGATTTAGCCCATTCATTGGCCTTATGGGTAAATCGTATACGAAAGCACTGCCCAGCTGACAAGTGATAGGGAGTCGATACAGGTATACAAAGTGAGGTCTAGGTGCTAGGTTGACCCTCTGCGATCAGCAAAAATTATCCCCTGAAGAATAACATGAAATAAACCCAGATCGACGGGAAAGCTCGATGCATTCATTCATCGGACAACACAAGTTCTACACTGGGCTTTTTGCTTTACCAGAAGATGCGAGAGATTGCGAACACGGTGCATTTAAGGAGGAGGCGAATTCACACACGCGAATGTCAAGCGCAGGTCAAGTGCCCAGCTCCGGTCGGCCCCAGCTCCGGGTCGTCAGTCTGTAAATATTTCCCCCAGCTGCTTTGTTTGATTAC